AAGCAAGATGCTCAGCAGCACCGACTCGAAACGTTGTCTCGGCTTAACGATAACATCTTAAAGTTTTTCGGACATAGCATTGAGGTCTTTCATATCTCATTTCTGATGCCTCAACGGCTCGGCTAGAGGTAGCCGGAACTCTTTATTTTCTAGTAAAAGGCAATGTCGCTAATCACTAGCTCGACCAATTAAAATAATGGTGAAAGCTGCGTTCCCTCTTAATTAAAGGTTTGGCGAAGGCCTATCTTTCTCTGCAATTTGAAGAAGTGGCCTAGGTATGTACAGTACTGCAATCATTGGACCAAAGATTTTGAAGGATCGTCTACTTATATGTAGGCATTAGAAAAAAATCGCGAGATTGCATAAGATTTGTAGCAGAAAGGTAATGACACAAGTAGGGGGGCTTTATTAAATGCAAGATCCTGGAATATGGATGACTGTGTCGGCGAATGTATGTGCAAGGTCCAGGTCTACGCGAATGGGCAGACATGTGACAGCAACTTGACTTGAGAACGTTGATCGGTTATACGTGGAGTTCAATGATTGACTGAATGTAATGATAATAAAAATATTATTCATGCACGTGCAAATTTCGTGCATAAGGAGAGTGACCTTGACGGAGTGGTGGCATCCTTGGGCACGTGGAAGTAGGTCTTGATTAATGGACAGTAGCAAAATTTATAACAATTTGAGCATCGTGGAGTGTCACCTTGAGAGTTGCTCTTTCTCATGCCCTCAACTGATTTTAGGACCGAATTAAGGAAAATAGGGAGAATAGGCGAACGCAGCTAGATGACAGACACATGAACATTCTCGCACGCCTCCAGCGGGCCTTCGCTGTCGAACCTGCTGTCTCTGTGGAGTGGCTAATCGATGCTGGTCAGCTGGAGGCCGTCAATTCATTCTTTGCTGAGAATGGTGCACCCGTGCTGATGGTTACGTACGCTGACCAGAACTTTACTATGCAGAAGTCAAGTAAGTACATTCTGTCTGACGTTAAAATACTGCTTGCTAAATTTCAGTAGCGCCTCTTTATATGTTGCCACTTTTCGCGACACGTATATTCTGACATATCAGCAGCTAAACAGACCGTTACAAGCTTGTTGCATACGAATATATACCCAACCATCCTTCAGCTCAGTTTTTCAGTTTTTTAGATCCGTTGGTTCATTTATAGTTAGGCTGTGGAATTCTTCGAAGTGGCGCAATGACTTTACAGTTGACGGAATGGTAGAATGCACTCACTGATCGCGTTACGGAATATACTCGTCCCGTCGTGCCACGGGGTCCCTCTTGAGCCGTATCAGCAACTTGGAGAAGGTTATTAGTGTAGACAGAATAAAATTCCTTACAAAGAAAGGGGAGACTGAAGTGGCCATTTCTGGCTCATTAGCCGTTATCAGCCAGCCATAACCAACCCCAGGATTTCTTGTAACTTTCTGAGGCTCCAACCCACGCCCTTTTGGTTAGAAGTCCAATGTCCCAATTGCGTAGCTGTCTGATGGATGACGGCTAATAAGTTGGAAACGGTCATTTTAATCTCTCTTGCCTTTGTCAGCAATGTTATTCTGCATTCCGTGAAATCTCGGTTTCCGCGGCTAAAACAGCCTCATTCTAGTCTGTTCACGTGTTTGGATAAAATGGAAACCTGCATCAGTAAACTGGTACCTTGCAGTTAAACTTACGGTGCTTCTTTTTATTGGTCACCGCCAGAGGAGGCATTTCGAATACAGAAAAAAAATCTCCGAGGCACAAAACGCTTCTTCTTTCACAATGCCCAACTTCCACTGAAAGAGGATACGGTGGTCTTTCTGCGAGTTTTCTTCACTCATGCCATCACCGACAAAAATATCTTAGCGGTAAGTCCCTTAGGCGCTTTGGCGGCAGTCAAATTCCTATCACTTTTTACTGCTTATGAATTTGTGCCCAATGCACAATACAATAAAGCATATAAATGTCTCGAAACAATCGTTTCCAGAAGCGTTTACCAAATTTGACCCACTGCCCAGATCTGGGTTGTCCAATTTAATAGAAGCTAAATTTATATGAGTTATACGCATTGCTATTCGCTAAAGATGTGAATTTATCTTCAACAACCCCTTCTACTTGTGGGTAACTTTCCATAATTTCTTTTTATTAGGAGACCTTCTCGTTCCAACTGGACCCCGCCAAAGGTTTTGTCCCACCCTTATTCGATTATCTGAGCACCTACGTCCTGCCTGGCATGCTCACCCAAAAGGGAAACATGAATAAATTGACGAACAAGGAGCATGCGGACTTCTGTGATTTCGTTCAGGACTATCTCAGAAGTATGGAAAGTAAGCAAGCGATTTAAATACAATCTGGTTCCAATCCCTCAAGCTTGTACCCAAGGCGACTATACAATGACGTATTGCCATGCCCTTACCATCGTACCTGCCCTTACTACTGCTTGCGCACGCAGACTGTATGTCCTTGAGGTGACCTCAACGCCTATTTGCCTATTGGTTAGTTAAGCGTCAGACCAGATTACTCACCCGCGCGAGTTACTTTTTCTGGCGGGGCAAAAGTTTAGTTAGCAGTAGACTGTTACGTTTAAGTGAACAAGACAGGAAGGCAGCTGTTTTGCAAGAGACTTTGCGCCCAGCGACTCATGCGCATGGACCAAATCTAGAAAGTATGTTTTAGTTTCCAATCTTTTATACTTTTCTTGAAACAAGAGAGGCTCTTTGAAATCGGCTTTGACTGGGGGATATAGTCGCATGCAGAACCGCAGTTTTTGCAGCTGGAGAAGATAAGCCAGCTGAACATGGTTCTAATGAAGGTTAAGACGACGATAAGGATGGATTTTGAGTTCACATTATTTAAAAGTAAAGGGCTATCTATAAAAGGTATTTGCATTTCATTGAAAAAAGGTCATCAACAGGAAGCAATGATGTTGCTTTCAATAACTGCTTTGTATTGTTTTCGAGCACTTGTTTGTTGCCTGATAGTGTGTCTTCGCTCCTCCCCCTCATCTCCTCCAAACAGGCCGCGTAGTACAGGGTGTCCCAGAAGTAACTGACCCTTTTGATTTGTTAATAAAACGAAAACTATTAACGCCAGGACATTGAAACTTGTTTTATTCGAAAGAAAACCCTTTCTAGAAGTTGGTGCAATGAAAATCCAAGAGAAATTCAAGAAAGGCCGCTGCATTCTCTT